GAGCTACTTTTGCTGTTACTAAGGTTTTTTTTGTTTATTTATGCTTATAAGTGAATGAATTTTGGCTTACCATTGTCTTTTATTCGTACCAGGACCCATACGCGCGCAGTGAAACACACTGTTTAGCTCGTCCGAACGCCCCACTCTTCTTCATTTTTCTGGTTTCATTCTCGTCCAGCCCCCTTTTTAACGTTTTTTCGAAGCCTTTTCTCACTATAGAAACACCGATGCACGCAATTTCTTCACGTCAGTCGCACAAGCTTCGATCTTGTCTTCCATTTTTCATCATAATCTGGATTACCCGAAATTATGTGAACGGTGCCTTTAAAAGGGGACGAACTCGTCGTTACTTGTGTGCGTTCCTGACCGTGTCGGATTCGAGGTAGACTAGCCTTGGCCATAACGGAGTTCGGTCTTCCAGGTCCTGATTATCAGAAGATACCCTCCATTCCCGTAAGTCTCGCTATTGCCTTCTTACCTTCACTTCCTGATACATTCGAACAACAAGAAGTATCGATCGTTGGGATCCTTGTGGGCTAAATCGATGACAGAATTGCGGTTAGGCAATGGCGTCGGCGTCCGAGAAAAATAGAACTTTCAGTGTTAATTGAAAGGTGATCGAAAGAAAACAAAAACTCTCCGAAAACGATGAGCGCTTTAGCTGTTGAGATTCCCACGCGCGCACCCTTTTTCATGTTTTGGCCTCCTTCGGTGCAATTTGGTGCATTGTTTCGACGAGTAGGTGGGAGCCTTATTTTTCTTGGATTTTGCTCGACAATGGATTTCTTATCAATGAATTGCTCAGGTTACGTGAACCATTAAATAGATACCGGAGCCACAACAAACGACCTTCTTGATGAGGAGCAAATGCCGCCTTCGCGGCACGAACAGGGACGAAGTTCGTGGTTTAGGAAAGGGCGCTGCTCAGCTTTCTGGTTCTTCCCTCAGGGTTGAAGGCAATGAATGGCTGTATGCAGAAGAAACATCTATACAAGTGATGCTTAATAATTAAACTAACTTAAATCAAGCAAATTTGCTGAAGATTAATACTAACAAAGAAATCAAAATAGTAACGTCTACAAACCATTCTCTGACCAGGGGTTATGTACGATTCTGGTTAAATGATTAGAAAGCATCGCCTATCTGTTTGAAACTTGCCAAAATTTGAGCTCAAAGAGCCAGTACCACATTTTTCGCGTGCGGAGGGGCTTACTGTCCTTTGAAAGAGAATGCTGCTTTATGCTCAGCGATCATGATAATAATTCAATTTTTACTCACTCCCTCAGAAAACTCTTGCAAGGAAATGAGGTCAGGACGAATAAAAGGACAACGACGGAGAATAAAGTCTTTGGCGTTGACCAATCTCGTCTGGGATGCGCCGCACGTTTGAATCCCATCCAGAATCGCAGTGGAGATCTGAATGCTCACGTGCCCCTATACAATGACTCGCGGTGACGTGGTCGAGATACAAACCGAAGGTCTATTCTCCAAACGTGTCTGGTATCAGTTATCAGAACTCGAAGGAATGGTAGGTTGGTTGGCCTGGGCGGATATCGATCCCCTGACAGTGCATGTGTGGTGGTGCGCTACTTGCCATTTCACCATTCAAATAGAGAGCACCAGCCCGCATCCTTACTTCACCTAATTGTTACTATTTCTCAAAGTTTGAAAGCCAACCTGCTGATGTTTTTCATATTTCGAAGAAAAAGTGTTTTTTCTGTGCACACTTTAATTTTGGTCTCTTAAAGCCTGTATCTTTATCTATTGTATTTTCATCGTGCGTAGTACGCAGGAGTTTGAGCCATTCTGAACAGCTTTGGAAAAGACTTCTCGAAGAAATGATGAATGGAATAAAGTTTTGGTCGGTACTGTATGAACAATTGAGATCAAGGACGGATCCTAAGTGCGCAACTTTCGATTTCCCTTTAGTAACTAGGACACGATAAACTCTTCGGTCACTCGTGATGGGAAGGAAATGGGAGATTCAATCCCAAAAAAACATTCGTAAGGGAAGCCCTGATCCCTTGATGGCGTCGTCTAAATTGGAAAGTTTGGGCCTGGATTGCTGTCAAAATAGTTTGAACAATAAAAAGCACGGAAAGGGTTCGCGGGATTTCTTTGTTGAAGTGAATTAGAGAAAGGTCCTTCAAAAGCGCAGGATCGAGTCGAGAACGCGACCCTATCCATCATTTCTGTCTATAACCTGGTACACATGCAGTAGGAAGCCAGAGCTTCTCTTTAGTGTTTGGAAAAAAGAAAATTAAACTCAGTCGTTGGCTGGTCCCATAAAGAGAAACTTTGGACGGTAGCACACGTTTAAGGATAGAATTTCCTTGCCTAAATCCTGAGCTTTGCCGAAAAAAGCCTCCATTCCTTATGATTGGGCACCACCAGAAACTATCTGCGCCATGCTTTCGAAGAAAACCGGCTTATTGAAGATAATACCCAGTTATGGCCATCGGTTCATGATAGCAGCCTTATGCAGGCTTCTACATGCCATGCCAACGAGATTGTTAAATTTAAGCGTCCCATCAATCCACGAGCATTAACACCTATTAACGATTCCCCAAATCTTTCCACTGCCATTACGCTGGTGTCAAGAACATCACCAATGGTCTGCCTTAGCCGAAACTTTTCAAAGCACACAGTGCGTATCCCAAAGGACGCCCATTTGGATTTGTTTTTCGGTGTTTACTGCGTTGCCCGGATCACATCGCAAGCATCGTCAAACAGATAGCCGACTATTAAACGTGCTTCTTGAGGAAACCACTTATACACAGCGGGATTGCGACTTAAACGATCCGTTATATGACAGGTTTGTGTTTGGCCCGAGAATAGCCCTACTTTTACATAACGAAATGGTTTGAGAAAAAGTTCTTCTAGTGT